TTACCATGTGAAAGGAAAGTAGCATATGCACCAATGACCTGTACACAAATTTGACATATAGTCACATGAAATTTCCCAACTAAACGAGTGTCATGCTCCATTAAACTGACCTGCAGTCTGTGATTTATGCTGTCTTCACCTCATATGGGATGGATGGTAAAGATAGAAAGGACTCGTGTACTTACAACATGCAGGCGTTCACACCATCACCAACTCTAGATGGTTGTATGATCGGAGAGCGCATTGTGTGAGACAAAGAAAAATACTGTGCATTGACAAAATATCACTATACCTTTTAAATGTAGGTTTAATTACCTTGAATAACAGACTTTGGCGTATGCGAGGTGTCCGTGTTTGTTTGGTCGAGGCCGTTTCTGGACATTTCTGTCTCCCCTGAGGGACTGATCTTTCCATTTTAGTATTTTATAATACATTGTTATTTTTTTTTAATATAACTTTCGTGATCTTCACTCAACTTCTGGAGTCATTTATTACTTTAACATGTGCACTAGTGTCCCTGTTGTGACTTATCCTGGTGTTAATCATGTTCATGTTGCGGTAATGAACATAAGAAACTTGGTTATTCATATCTTTGTATGCTTCTTAACATTATCCTGTGTTCTGATCATCTGTGCAGGAGTTTCTTTGACTCCTCCACAATAAACAGTCTCTGCCAGGTTTGGACATCTTAAACCTTAGCATTTCCCTACAGGATGCTTACATTTTTGTGGTCAGCTCGCATCGCATTGGCTCGGGACATCATTTACGCTCATTCAAATTTCAGAATGTAGATCAGAGTGTAGATCGTTATAAATTTAACCATTGTAGTTTATACTGACCTGTACATGACTGGAGTTGAGAATGCACCTGCACACACTGGATTTGTATCCCGGTGTAGATCGTAGAATGATGTTGGATCATAAGTAATCTGGTTATTCATGCATGATTCTTAAACAGCTGTGTGACTAAATGCAGTGTGCATAGCCATCAGGCTGAATTAACGATATGACAGGGAGTGTGAGCCTCCGGGGCGATGTCTCCTATACTCTGCCTACAGACTCAGCATCAGGTAGGCTATCTAGTGCAGAGTGAGCAATTTGCAGGGTAATGCACACATTGGACATCAGTGACAGACTTTTGGTAGGTTGAGCACTAATGTTAAAAGATTTATTCCTCTTCATCTACACAACCACATAGCTCCCATTCGGCTAAAAATGGCCCAGTGTTCGGTCAGGCACTTCTCCATTATCAAGCGGCAAACGTTTTAACACATATTAAAGCTTTCAGAAAAAAACTGAGTTGTGATTACGTCTTGGCTGTTGATGTGAACACTATTTCCAGAGACCGTCCTCCCGATACGAATCACAACCTCAGTCGTTTCAGCAAGTGCCCCAAAAAGACCAAGTCCTCCAAATTAAAAGCAAATAAGCTGTTTGTTCACATAGAGTTTTCTGATTTGATGCCCTGATCAGCAGGACGACATCATTTGGCTGTGCTTTCCAACACTATGTAACAAATCACTGTTGAAAAATAAATTAGGCGCTAAAACAATCTCTAACGTTAGGGAACCTTCTCCATCATTAAAGTTAAAGATTAAAGTTAGGCAACGATGGAGGTCTTCTTTTTGTAGGAACACTGACTGTTGGAAAATTAAAGTCTGATGTTTTATACACCTATCAATCCAGCAATCCTCCCTCTGTGGACTCGCTCCAGAGCGATCTCGCCTGAATGGAAACATTTGTCGTATTTGGGGCTCAAACAACTGCTGCTGTCGTTACTCTAAGGACAGCAGTCTCTTATGTGTGCAAATGTAAAGCAGGGCGCTGCTGGAAAAACAGCACAGCATTCTGTCATCGTCTTTTGGAAAAGATAAGAATTTGAAGAAATAAATCACACGCATGTGTAGGAGCTGATAATGTTAGAAAAGAGAAACTGGCTTTCCGATTGAGCATACTTTGGCCTCACCCATAAACAGCACCCTTTGCTGTGACAGTCCATCACCTGAGCGGACTGTGTAAACCAGCCCTCCTGCGAAGACGCAACATCTCCAATATTTATCTCTCTGCCCCCGCAAAGTCATCCGGCCGTCCTTGGAGTCTTTCTTCTTTGCCCTTGGGGCAGAAAATGATTCAAGCAACAGTGCGATATCCCAGCCGGAGTGAGCTCTCCCACTATAGATCAACCTGAGGGTGACAGAGAGCAGGAGCTTTCTCAGCCTGCCTCAAGATAACAGCCCATAGGATGTGTGTCACATGCATTCACTGTGGACATCACGAGCTAATATTGATTAGCTCTCGTGCCTCGTGGGAGTGGAGGCAGAGACAGTGCATACATCACTGATATTAATTATGATTCTAGTGTGAACAATGTGAAAGGGCTGAAATTGAACCACTGTATACTTCTGAGGGTACAGCAGCATGACACGCCTGCACGGATACAGTGTGTATGTGTGTGTGTGTGTGTGTGTGTGTGTGTGTGTGTGTGTGTGTGTGTGTGTGTGCGCATGTGTGTGTGTGTAATGGGGTGGGGTAGGTCAGAAGAAGGGCAAGGAAGAAAGACTGATGACTTTTAATCTCACGGGGCAAACGTTAGCAGTTCCTCGACAGCCTACTCCTAACACGCACACACACCCCATATGTCAATCCAACACACACACACACACACACACGCACCATGTTTCTCATTCTTATTCATATCTACAGCATGTAGTCAGAGGAAATTACTGATGGGCATCACAATGTGCTGAATATCCTCAGACAGCATACACGCACACACACATTAATAAAAGCAGAATATGAAAAGCAGAATGTTGTAAATGAGATGAAATATCCCAAAAATGTCCCAGATATCAGGGACTCGGGTTTAACAGTTTAACCACCCTCATAGATTTCTCTGTGCCTCTGTCTGTGATTGAAAGCTGACCGGACACCAGCAGAGCAATTCCCCTTGTAGCAATTACACAGAGGTGGTAACTGTCGGTTTGTGGAGCGATAAACTTTTGCTGTCAGCAGTCATTTTTTCTCTCCTTTCATGGGGGGATCTGCTGCAGGACTCAGATGTTATGGCCCAAAAAATAAGCCATGTATTTATGCAGGAACTGCTCCCCTGCTTGGGTTTTCGTGTCCATGTGTCCAAATATGGGCTTTTGTATAGAAAATCTTCCAGTTCATTCCATTTTTCAGTGCAGTTCACAGATTGGCTCTTAATTCAACTCATCTAGTCTTCGTCTTCCCAAACAGCTCACTAGCAGAGGTTCATTTTCAGCAACTCTGAGAAACAATGTTACAACTAATTTGTAACAGTAAATATGTTGTGAGAGAAGCATAAAGCCGCCGCAATTACATTTTTTTTTGTCAGTGTTGTGAGGAAACGTTTTTAATGAATGCATTTGCCAAATGTTCAAAGACATCGCATTTTTAATTTGTTTTCCTGACAATATCCACTCTTGTAATACAAGATAGTAGCGACTAAAGCTTGAGTACTGTTTATATGGTTATGCCTAGGGACTCACAACACTTGGTTAAGGTTTTTTTTATAATAAACTTTATATCTCTGATATTGTGAATACTGTTTGGTATTCTTTAGGCAACAGTGATGAATGGGCCCCTATGGGGATTTCTTCCTGTCCCTGAGCCCCCTTTGCATTGTCATTTAGCTTAAATATACAGTGCGGAACTTCCATTGCAACTTCCAAAAACTGGTGGCACCAGTAATGATTTAGGTGTGTCATAGCAATCAATTTTGAAGATATTTGAGCAGCTTAATGAATCTATTGTGATTCAAAGATTGAAAACAATGAAACGTAAAGGCTTGATTCTGGCTTTGTCCCATCTGAGAAAATAACCCTGATAATGTCACAGTGATGTCATCAGGGTCACCTCAGTTTGGGTTCAGAGACTACAAATTTATAACAGAAAGCCTGTGTTACAAACTGGGGACATGGAGTTTGTAAGCATAAGAAAGGGGAATAGGCAGGAATGGGTGCATTATGGGAGATCTAGGATCTATTGTTTTGGAGTTTGACACACACTGCCGAGTAAAAGTCAGGATGTCATGGCGGTAGCTGCTTCAGATTTGGACCTTTTTTTTTTTTATCTGTCTCCTTTTAGCCCCCCAACTCTGAAGTTCTGTAGAAGTTCAATACTAAATCCAGCCCATCCTCACCAGAAAACTGTTGTGCAGGTCAATTATTATATAGCTCATTACAACTCATATTTAAGTTTTTTGTGGCTGTAAGCTCTAGTGGCAGAAGAAGTCAGGTGACGTAGTATAAAGAGCAACAAAGTCCGTGTAAGGAGGGTGGATGGATGTGTGAGGTAAACTGAACTCAGGTCTCAGAGGTTCGAGTCCAACGTGAAAAAGTCAAGTTTCAAGTTAAATAGCGTTTTGTAGATTGTTACCTAAACCTAACCATTCTGCGACTGTTTCACAATTGACCACGTGTTAAATGTGGTACCTTAGACCTAAGGTACCACTCTTACATGTTGTTTGTGTGTAGATATCTATATAGATATAGATATATTTGTGTGTGTGTGTGTGTGTGTGTGTGTGTGTGTGTGTACACACACACACACACACACACACACACACACACACACACACACATATATATATACATATATATGTGAAAGAATCTGCCAATGGGATGCCCCCTATTTTCAATGCAGCCTGTTTTTGTTTTTCATTTGGAAATAAGAGGATTTATGAGTAGCACCACTGACAAAAGTTAAAGACAATTTCATAATGTTAAATGTGTTTTTGCGGAGTGTTTTGTGAAGAATTTAAGGAGAAAAATGCCATTAAGAACCTTTGGGGGACCATATTAGCTCCACTGCTCAACTCCTTGCTGACATGGGGCTGAGAAGAGGCGTGTGTATATGTGTGTGTGTGTGGGGGGGGGGGTTATGGTAGAGAATCAGGTGGGTATGGGGGGGCAGCCTACAAAATGAGAGGAGCAGCAGCACTGGAGGAGCAGATGTGAGAGGCGCACTGTAGGGGCCGCATGCATAATTAGCCGCGGATATATTATCGGGAATAACCGGATTATGAGGATTTGAGGAGTAGAAATCGCCAGAATCCGGTATCATACAAGGCGAGGGATTAAGTTAGACGTCTTCACTCCTCCTGTCGCCGTTATGGGGATAGACCGGCGGCGGAGAGCATCTCTGGCTCTCACCTTGAACTTCCTCGCTTTGTTTCTGGCCGTGTCGGCTCTCACCACCAGCTACTGGTGCGAGGGGACGCGGAAAGTGGTGAAGCCGTTCTGCACCGGCCCGGTCACCACCAGGCAGTCGTTCTGCATCAGGTTCAACAGCTCCAACGTCAACGACACGCGGCTGGTGCAGTACATCTGGGAGACCGGCGAGGATAAGTATTTGATGAGGAAGTTTCACACCGGCATCTGGTTCTCTTGCGAGGAGAACATCAACATGACCGGTAAGTTTTGAAAGAAAGGCACCGTGCTGATGTTGGGACCGGAGCGCAGCCGGGCGCGCGGGGCTGTGCGCACAGAGAGGTGCGTCACTGAGAGGCACGTCGATCCAATAACCTTTGTAAATAAGGCAAAGTCCTGTTTCTGGTGCCGTTTGCCCATAAAATAAAATCCAGATTTTAAACCAGCTACATTTCGTGATTAATCTCAGAAATTAATTTGATGTCTGTTGATCTCAAATTTTAACACCGGGTCAAAACTGTTTTTTGTGTCCACCCAAAGGATATGCAAATTGCTTTGTTTTGTTACAATACAATACAAATACAATACATAAAATAAAATACATTTTGTCCAATGTCACAGAAGACAGAGAAAAGGCAGCTCATTTTCACATTTCAGGAGCTAAAACATAGATTGTTTTGTAAATTGTGTATTAAAGTGTAGCTGATGATTCACTTTCTTTCAATTGATTAATCAACTCTAATTGCTGCAGCTATATTAATTATTTCTATGGAAAACATGGAAAAATACAGATTAAAGACTTATTATACCCACTTCAAAGTTGATGATTTATTCTCTTACCTACAGCATTCACTACTGTGTGTGAAAGCTGTTCAAATGATTTGTGGGCAAGTTCCAAATAAGCCAGCTGAGAGCTGCATGGTCCCCCAACTGTGGATCTAGGAATTTGTGGCTACAGTATCTGTGTCTGTCTCCAGACTGCCACAAAAGCATTTCTGTTGGCTGTGAAATACCACCGAATTTCCTGGCCAGCACACTGATACAAGCTGGATTTGATGCAGGAGATTTTGACATGCTGGGGGAAGTGGCAGAGCTTGTTATTGCACAAACACAGAAAGGAAATCTCCTCACAGATAGGATTTTTCTTTTTACATCACAGCTTTGTCTTTGTCACACAAAGTGAAACAGGCTACCTGTGATTCTCAATCTCAATCTGGAAATCGATGGAATACAGAGGAAGTCTCTGTCTCACTTATCAGCATGTTGCAGTAGTGAATATACTGTTAAGAGTGCCAATGAAATGTCTAATTTACAATCTTTTCCAGGCGAGAAATGCAGAAGTTTCCTATATGTTGCACCTTCAAATGAAAGAGGTAAGCATATATGTTTAAAAAATATTGTTGCATGTATTAATATTATCACTTACAAGCATACAATTCATACACCCTAATCCATCACTAATTCAGAAGCATGTGGCGATGCAATGCCATTTCACTAGTGCATGGAATAACAGGTCAGTTTTACAGATAATAAGCTGTTAAAAGCTGTTTGTAAAATCCAGCAAGACATCACTCAATCTAATGAAAAACTTTACTGTGCTGCTCACATCACCTTAAGAGTCATGAGAGGCGGAGAAGTTGCTTATCGCAGAAGAGCACAAACCTTTTTCCTTTTTTTGTTGAGGCCTGACATCTCTGGCGCTCTCAATGTAAGGGCTGTTTTCTGATCACTCAAACTAAGCTGCTTAGCGCTGTGGTGGCCAATTTGAGTGAAGTGGGCATGTTGGAAAAGGAATTTGAGATCTTCTGTCACTGCGACGAAATACCGGCAGCGCCTGGCCCAGTCAGACGGTTGTCAGAAACATCTGCCGGCCTCCAGGAGACGCATGTTTTCTTCTTTTCATTTTTAAGCTAACGTTGCATTTGAAGCCAGTTGCCTTACTGCTGGTCACTTTTAATGAAAGTGTGACTGTCATGTCTAATGTAATCAAGTTAACAACATAATACCAAGGCTAAATCATCCTGATTACAGTATTTTTGAAAAAGCTATGGTTGTTGGTGGGGTGACCCCACAGAGCTGTGAATAAACTGATCACTCGCTCTGTTAGGTAATAAGTAAAGTGGCGTTCCAACAAATGAATCACTTACATGCACTCTAATCAGTTCCCTCAGCCCTCCTCCTGCTGCGTTTCACCTGTGTTCTCAATGCTTAGCCTGATAACCAGACTGAGATCCCATTTCGTTTTCACTTTATTATTCAGTCTGACATTGTTCATGTTAACCGTTTTCACTTCGGGAGTAGTGAGTGACATGTCCATCCCCTTAAAGTTATTTTCACTGGCCTTGGAAGCTGCAGTCAATGTTACCAAGACCAGTTTGTTCTCAAAGTACAATCTTTTCTTACAATCTTTTAAAAGCTGTCATTTCTGTAAGTCAAACAAGCTACACAGTAGCTGCGTTGAGCTCACCCACCCTTGTCGCCATTTTCTGGGCAATGTTCCTGTCAACATTTTTCTGGCTCCGGCACAGGAAGAGCATGTTCCCATCCCCAAAGAATACTGCTGAGTAAAATAGTATATTTTTCTTATTGTCAACATTAAACCCAATGAAAAACTAAAAACAACCCTGAAAGTGGATTGCCAAAACTTATAAACAAAACTGAGCATTCAGACCAAACGCAAATTTAATCCTCGCAACGCTTTCCTCACGGGGGTTTTATTGCTGTGTTCACACAATGCAATAACATGAAAAAACACAACCTGCGATAACTACAGCTGTATGAACCCAAAGTAAACATTTTGCTGTGATTTATTTGCAATAAGTGTCTTAAACCGATGCCGAAATAACCACAATATGATGCCGATTTGTTAAACATAGGAATTCATGCTTTGCCAGGTCTGTCTGACAACAACTTCCAAAATTTCTGTTTTCTGAATGGAGTTTGGATCGATCAGGGCTATGCTATGCAAAGTTTTTCACAGTAAAGTACAACGATAGCTGGAATAAAGTTACAGACACATATTTTCTGAACTCACCAGGTAGTGTCCTGTTTTTATACAGTTATAAAGTAGTAGTCCAACAGAGCTCTGGGTGCCAACCGATGCTAACAACAACAGTTGAAACAATGCACGGAAGTTCGCTGCTGAGAAGCTCCAGTGAAGATAAATCAACGTAATCCCAAAAACTAAAGTAAAAAGTTGATTTAATAAAAGCAGTTAACTCTGAGCTCCTCCCATGGGTAAACGGCTTAATTCAGTCCCACATGTCACATATGACATTTAGCAGGAAAAGCAAATGCTTTGCTGCCAATAGAAACTGTTCAGGTCATGTGCAATTTCATCTGCCTGCCGCTCTACCACATGCAGATATCATATGATTAAAATATTAGATATATCAAGATAAAAAATGAGAGGAAAAACTCGAAATGCACCTAATTGCAGCCGGTTTTAAGACTTTAAATGTCCTCTAATAACATTGTCTTCAATCCTCTGCACCCTCCTACTATAAATTGAATTAAAGAAAGCTTTTACTGCGGTGTGGAATTCAATTTAGAGCAGGTAAAAGACAGTTCTAGCTGAAGGATGTATTTATAATTCATCCAGGGATATTTTGGGTAACAGGCGTATTACTTTAGTCCACCTTGTGATTAATTAACCACGCAGTAACTACCTGCCCTCAGGGCATATATGTAATTACACCACGGCTTACATTTACAGGTTTTTAAATCCGTTGATATTTTGTCCTGCCACGCACACCAGCCTGAGCTCAGGATGTTGCACGTCTCTTTGTAGAGCAGATATCCTTTCTCTGACTGTAAAGGTTAATGATATGGGTAACGGGGTCAGTGGTCCACCTTTGCCGACTCATTCTCATCCCGTCCCTATCTCCCACTCTTCGCCCTTGCTTATCCATAGTCTTTCTCAATTCCCCAGCCCCCATCTCTCTACCCTCTCGATTCCAGTCACTACACCCCCTCCATCATTCACTCAGCCATGTCCACCCCACCCCCACAACACGAATGCCTTTTTTTTCTGCCTCTGTGCTATTCCTTTTCTCATAACCAAGTCTCTCCATAGGAGTGCTGTGGCTGTGCATTGTTGCGGAGTGCCTGTACATCCTCCTGCTGGCCACCGGAGGCATCCTCATGTCCATAGAGGTGTGTCACTTTGGCAATGTCATCGACGGCCTCAAGCTCAACGCCTTCGCTGCCATATTCACTGTGCTCTCAGGTGAGTAGCTGTATTTGCCGTCGTTGCCACCAAATGGAGCACAGTTAAATGAATCCAATCAAACTGTCGATATTAGATGGTTGCAGATTACAAACACGTCCCGAAATATCTGCTGTGTTTTTTTTTTTGTTGAAATATATTATATATATTCTCATCTCTTTTTCTGTCAGTACATATGAACTTTAATGGTCCACAGTTCTGCATCTTTTTCAATTTTTCGCAAGGATAAAACTGTTTTGGGATGTATGTGGGAACAGTGTCTAGGCTTCAGACCTCTGGGTGGGTGTTGTCTTTGGCATTTGACATTTAAGCCAACTTCTTCTGCGTCGGCTTCTGTGGTGTGCTGCTTACTGGGGAATGTCATAGCCCTGTATAGTCTAAGAATTCTGATGCAATATTTAGTGATGGAAACATGACCACACTGGCCCTGTATTGCTCCAATCAAATTAGCAGTGTCAGTTAGAACCAACCTGTCACTGCAGGGGAAGATATAAAATGTACACGTTGTCTTTGTTAAAAAAAAAAAAGAGATGTACAATGTTGACACATGTCGAAAACAAACACTAAGGATATGCTGTAAAGTGATTTCTTAGCAAGATTTATTTGAATTCCTGTCAGATATCCAGGCCAGTTGCAGCCTCTCGGCCCCTGAGAGGACTTCCAGCCAGTTTGCAGTCTGCCTCCCTCTCTCGGTGGAGGACTTAACAATGACCTTCTCTTTAATCCACTGTGTGAAAATGATCCTGACCATCACACTCTGGCCAGAGAATGAGCAGTGAAAGATACTCTGCTCACCAGCAATGACTCGCAGCATTTTAGAGACTTTGACAGGTCAGGTTCAGGAAATTTCTACAAAAGCCCATAGGCTGAGGAATGGTCCTGGGTTCCACACTTTGAATGTGTTCTTTGATGATGAACATATGCACTGCATCTTTTTTATATTAGAAGCACCCAGGTAGTGCCAGTAAGGCTGCCTTCTCACTCTCGAATACCCTGAATTCTTGGATGCGTGGAGTCATTGTCAGTGCGTCTGTCAAGCTTGGACCCAAAAACAACCAGACAGAGTAGAGCAATCATGTATGGAGCAAATAACATTGTAATGGGTGGAACAACAAAAGTGCATTCTTATGCACAGTGTTTTCCTCATCCCTCCATTTAGCAAGTGTTGAAAAGCTTCTGGGTTCTTGGTTTTTGATGAGTTAACTAACCTAAAAACAGTGCAGCATTTTGGGAAATGGGCTTATAAGCATTATTTCCATAAATGAGATTAGAGATCGATGCCACTCTCAGGCTTCTCATCTCACTCTCGGAAAGAAATCAAATATACTCCAAATTCTAAATTTCCCAATATGTAGAACTGCTTTGAAAGAAAAGTGTGTCCACTGGGACTGATACTATTTTACTCAGTAGCCCCCTTATACAGATTTGGGAAATACAGACTCTGGCAGGAACAACTTTGTTCACACTGCAGGTATTAATGCTCGATTCAGTTCACGTAATTGTTTAAATGTGGCCCATATCAGACTGAAGTGTGAGCTTCCGAGGCAAGTGACTCTCACGGTTTCTTCTCAGGGTCACATTTCTCCCGTCACAACTTTCTGTCCTTTTCATTAAATTCATCACTGTTTCTGGTGCTGTATAACACATATGCCCCACAACACTCCTCCTACAGCTTTCCAAAAAAAGTTTAAAAAACAATTTTAAGGGCCCCTGTGGAGTTTTCTTAACAAAATAGTACAAAAATAATAAACAAATAATAAAAATAAACAAAAGTTATGTTTACATTTAGTGTTACTCACCAAAATGCTTTGAGTGTATCCTTGAGGCATAACAAATGGGTCGAATGGCGTTTCCTTCCTCATAAAACATTTGCAAAGTATTTTTAATCCTGTGTTGTTTACATGCATTGTTTACTAGCTTGCAGTCTTCTTCTTCTCTGTCTTTGCTAGCATATTGCAGCATATCTTGGCGTGTTACCGGAACCTGTTAATCGGTGGGCATCCGGTGTCTGGGGCATCCACGAGATAAACAAAACGGGGAAGCTGTCATTGAAAAACAACGCCATAGCCCTTACAAACCAATGTGCACACACAAATATGGCAGGTCAGCCGACAGTTTGACTCATGAAGTGGATTTGTAATGCCATGCAGTTCGCTACAGTAGCTACATTACTTCCCAGGGGACTACTTTGTGTGTTTGCTGTCAAACAGACTGTTTCTGATGTTTTCTTTTGAATTGTGTAGACCAAGGTTGACAAAAGAAAAAATTTACCTTTATGCCTGTACTGGGTTTAGGTAACGAGACTTGAGTTTAAATTTAAAGCCTTCAGTTACTTTCACATTCGGGGAACTATCTTGAGCCTGAGGCAGCATATTGATAAGCTTGGAGTTAGAGATACTGCAGGATTCTCCTAGTCTGACTAATCCTTTGATTTTAGACTAAGTTCAGAGTCAACTAAGTCCCCTTTGATCGAGCTGGCATGAGAAGCAATGAACAGGCTGTGCCCTTGCTGGTTAAATATCCTTCAAACTTTGTAGTACTTGTTTGGTGCTTCATTAGTGTCATGTGACATTCATCTGTTCTTGTTGTACAGTGAAAATGACATTTCTACTTCTTTCAAGTCAGGAAACAATAAGGTAGATCATTCCATGTACACAATCCTGCTGCAGTAAATACTAACAAGTACACTACATGTGTATTCATCCGCAGCTGAAACTAGTCCCCAACAAATGCACCCCAACAAATGAGGAGTGGTGATGGTGCGGGGGATAACACACATGCCTTTAGTGTGAGAGACCCAGATTCAAATCCACTGTGAGACACTGATGTGTCCCTGAGCAAGACACTTAACCCCTTGTTGTGAGTTGCTTTGGATAAAAGCGTCAGCTAAATAAATGAAGGTAAATCTATTTTGTCCTTTTCAAGTACCATTTGGCAAAAACTACACATACATCATACGTATTTACATGTAAAACTGTAATCAACTGAAATCATGATATCTGGAGCACGCACACACACATATATATGTATATATATATGTGTGTGTGTGTGGCAAGGTCAGGAGTGATGAGGCGACACACAATAAATTTTATGGGATTTTATTCCCCGACTGGACTCAAATGAGAACAGCGTTAATCATGTAAAGTCGAGGGTTTAAGGCAGTTGGTGGTTATACAAAACACAGGAATAACTTTCTTACTCGTCCTTTGCTTATTGCATCTGATCTCAACTATGTGACTTAACAGTACTCTATGCACCCCTTTACCATACCACAATATGTAAACAGCTGCCATAAACTAGTTTACACTCACTCTGGTAGACTTCAGTTACTTCTAAACGGGAACTCTAGACCTAAATTCTCAACAACCAAAGCTGTAAAACAGCCAAAATCTGGACAACATCACAATATAGACATCTAGATGAGATAACGCCACTCTAGAGTAGACAACAGTAGTGGCCTTTCTAAATAGAGAAAAATAAAAAAAACAAATATAAATAAAGACATTCACTTAGTCCCATAATGCATTGACTGCATAAACTCAAGGTGAAATATTTAAATTTACCATAAAACATAAAATACATTCATTCACAGAATACAATTTGCACAGCACATTGTATAGAAACTATTAATATTAATATTTTATGAATGAAATGAGTAACTCACTGTTCTACTGTGCAGTGTGCGTCCTCAGGATCCGCCCCCACACACACCAAGAACTCCGCACGTGTGTCTCCCCTTTAAGTCAGTGGAAAAATATGAAATAAACATTGTTTATTTATAGCTTCAGTATACACTAATATAATGTGATTTTGTTTAATACACTTCATTGTCACTCACGCTATCGCCGCTGGTCAGAGTCTCTTCCCCTCGTGGCGAAGATACACACACACTCACTCGACTATCAATCGTCAGGATACCCAGGTCTTCATGGAACTACCTTTGTTCTCTAGTTAGTTAACTCTTTCATCTGCCGATCTTAAGGATCCTGGATGTAAGAGGGAGCTTGACCATGCAAGGCTCTGTAAGTAATGGTTAAAATTTTAAAATGTACTCTAAAACCAATCAGAAGCCAATGAAGAGCCTTAAGCACAGGAGTAATGTGCGATCTCCTGTTGATTTTAGACAAAAGCCTTGCAGCTGCATTCTGCACAACTTGCAGTCGGTCTATAGAGGATTTGTTTGGATAAGTGTACGGTACATTGCAATAATCCAGATGAGAACAAATAAAAGCATGAACAAGCATCTCCATCTCTTCTTTAAAAACCATAGATCTAATCTTAGCAATGTTCCTGAGATAGAAAAAACAGGAACGAACCACAGATTTAAAATCCTGATGTTAATTTAGATTTGTCAAAAATGACACCCAGATTTTGCACAACATTACCGTCAGAGGATGATAGAGCCCCAATGGCCTGCCTGATCTTAGGGGTAATGTTGTCTGGGGCAAAAATCACCACCTCAGTTTGTCTGTATTTAGTTGCAAAAAGTTGTCTGCCATCCATTTATTAATGGAGGCTAAGCAATTGTGCAACACGGACAGTTTGTCTAGCCTATTAGGACTAAAAGATAAATATAATTGGATGTCATCAGCGTAACAATGATAAGATATGTCTATACAGACTGAACAGCAGGGGGCCGAGCACAGAACCTTGGGGCACACCACAGGACAAAGGAGCAGAGTCGGACATATATGTTCCTATGGACACAGAGAAACTCCTGTCAGAGAGATAGGAGGAAAACCAGTTCAGAGCTGATCCAGTAATGCCCACAGTTGTTTTCAGTCTATCAATCAGAGTGCAGTGATCAACAGTATCAAACGCTGCACTGAGATCTAATCTAAGCACAGAACATTTAACCCCATCAGCAGCCATCAAAATATCATTTGAGACCCTCAGGAGGGCAATCTCAATTGAATGGTTTTTACAAAAACCAGACTGAAATTTATCAAAGATATTATGGGAATCCAAAACATTCTTTAGCTGGTTCGCAACAACCTTTT